TCTGTTAGCTCTACGCCTGCTGAAGACACAGACGTCCATCCCTGTGAACACTGGGACGCAACTCAATGGGAAAGGAAAGGATTCTGATTTCAGCCGTTGCGTATATTAGCTGCGACATATGAATCAAGATGCTATGACCGAAAACATTTGATTGACAGATGACTGTTGATATATGACTGGCTGAATTTAGGTGTTCAGACTGATGTATACTGGCCTGAATAAGATAATGAAAAAAAAACACAGATTTTAAGACAGGATTTTTATTTATAATTTTCTAAATTTTGGGACATATTATATCAATATTATCTGATAAAGAGTACATTTATATGCATGTTTAAGTCAGAAATATTTAACATTTAAATATGATTTCCCTACGACTTTAAAAAAGATTGCTTTCTTCTTTATGCTGGAAAAAAAACATCTCAAGCAGATAAAAAAAACAACTGAGATGTTGTATTTTCTCAGATTAGGGAATCGATTCATTCCACTTCTTTAGAGTGGAGAATTATATGCACAGCATGATAAGCTCATAGTTCTTTATGGTCCTATACTGCTTTTATCAAACAGTTTGGTGATTCTGGTCGTTCAGATTCACTCTATAAGGAGGATATTTTCCTCTGGCAATAAAAAGAACAGCTCATAAAAAAATAACAAGGAAGGGAGAGAAAAAGGAGAACCTCTATTGGTTCCTTACCTTAACAGGATGCAGGTACCCCCCCGGCCGGGGCGGCACAGAGTGCTCCATCACCCCCCCGTCCTGGTCCAACGTCTCTGTCAGGTGTGCTATGTAGTTTGTAGCCAGAACCAGAACATCCAGCTTGGAGAGCTTGGTGTCAGGTGGGACTGAAGGCAGAGCTGCCTGGAGACAAATGAACTCTGAGGTTAGACGGCCGCTTAAAGGAGGAGGTGAGGAAAAGCAGTTAAACATACCTGTAGGCTGTGGAAGGCCTGCCGCAGGTTACGCACCCTGCTCCTCTCTCTGGCTGCATTTTCTGGGGAGTGCTGAGTCCTCAGGGGCCTGCTGTGGAGCACGGGGCCAGAGTGGGACCTGGACCCACACACAGCCTGCTCCTAAAACACATTTCAGCCGTTCAGTTAGGAGCTGAGGATTCCCTGTTGATCAGCAGCCATCGTTCTGATCCAACTACACCTCAGAACAACAACAGGAAGTAGGACTCTGTCTCTGCATTCATCACAAGGATTATCATAAAGCTAAAATAAAATCTCACAAAAAATGAACAACATTGTTTTCTTTTCAGATTTAGTTTAAATGATATATAGAAACATAAACCAAGAGGAAATAAATATTGAACATTGCACAGCATTAACAGGTTTTTTTTATTAATTATCTGAGGCCTTCCTGCATCAATAAGAAAGAATAACATTCCTCTTTTTTTTTTTTAGCTCTTTCTGCAGATCGTTTGCTTTTTATTTCATCTGCAGTCAGATTTACATCCAGACTGTTTATAGAAAATGTTACTAAACTGATCTGTATTTATTGTAGAAGAGGTTATATTTATTTGTTTATGGATTTTGCTCCATCGTTGCTCCAAAGTACAGTAGAGGAGGGAACGCATGATCCATTAAAAAAAAAACACATATACCAGAAATGATTTTTTTTTTCAAATGTTTTTTTATTTATATTTTTATATACTAATTTAGTATTTTCCAATTTAATTTATAAAAAATTTTCAGATTAAGTTTTATGAAATTAATTCTTTTCAATCACGTGTTACAGATCACATTGTCTAAAAGCCTGATACCAACACTCAAACATCCTGCTGCAGGAATATGATTTAGATTTTTAGGACATCCTCACATCTCAAAAAAAACTTTTTTTTTTATTTGGTGAAATCTTGACCAACTGATCTGATATTTAGTTTAACAAAGCAACATTATTTGCCTCTGAAAAGTTTATTATAGGTCATAGAAAGCGTAATATATCAATATTTAATCCTAATTTTTTGACCGTCATCCAGCATTGCTGTGTGAGCTCGACCAATCCGCTTTGACCCCTGATGAATTATGGGAAATGGGCGGTGAAGGACACACTGGATAGAAGGACACATTTATCCGCCACATTTGATGGAATTAATTAAACACGAGTGATCTAAAAACACACAGTCTGCATGTTTCACCTACTCCTTTGACTGCGTTCTGCTGCTCTGCGTTAAACCAGGTTTCATCAGAGCGAACTGAGTCCAGACTTACCCACTTCCTGGATTTGTCTCTGGGTCCCTGCAGGGATGCTGGGCGGTCGGCTGCAGCGCTGCTGGATCCCAGCTGCTGCTTCACTGTCACTGACATGAGACCCTCCAGAGGACTGACCGCCATGGATCCGGCCGGAGAGCAGCAGCAAACGCCATGTAAGTGTGGAGAAGTCCCCCCCCCTCTGCTGGATGTGTTTTGATTGGCCGGATGGAGGTCTGCTTCAGAGCGCAGCAGGCGGCTGTGAGGAGAGTTCATTCTGTCTGGTAGGTAATTCAGTGAAAACACAACAAAGCTGATGACCTGAGGTCATCTTCTCATCTTTAGAGCCTGATCCAGATCTCAGAAGAAGCTACTGACTGAAGCAGCTTTAAATACTCATCACATCCTTCTGGTTCTGGTCCGCTACCCCAACGCTGCCTGATCCTCTGTAGGACCCCCGGCCCACCCTCAACCATCAGGCAGCTGGTGAAGACTGCAGACACGGCGGCCGCCTCTCGTAGCCTCATCCCTGTCCATCCAGAGGGTTCCTCCCCCCTCTGCTCTGCGTGTCTCTGGGCTTGTTTCCTAATCGGGGGTGAGGTAATGCGGGAAACTTCATGTGGTCCTTATCTCAGCCGCCCGGTCATCCTGATCCTCCCCTGGCTGTTCAGTTGCCAAGAAGAGCAGGCGGGTGAGCAGTCAGCGCCTGGGGGAGTGGGGGACTGGGAGGGGGCCAGGGCACCGGGGGGGCCTTGGGAAACTCAGAGCTCTGCTAACAGCTGGACAGGGGTGGGATCCAAGCTGCAGGGCAGCGCGACATTGAACCTTGCCAAAGACGGACAGGAGTTTGGTAAAACTGACTTTGAATCGTTAACTCCAACAGATATTTTAGATGAATTTATCCCGACGTAGAACATCTTCCCAGAAGGGATGTCCTCCTGGTCAAAGCTGCAGGTGGAAAAGGTTAAAGAGGTTCTGTTATGTCTTAATGTATGTTCTGGTTAAAACACTCCTCTCACCATCAGACTGAAGAATCTCTTCACAACTGGAGTCATTATCTTCACTGCAAAGATGATCTAGAAATAAGTCCAAATGTCTTAAATTACCCTCAATTTGAGGAGGGTAATAGAATGATTTGCCTATGGAATGAGGATTTTAACTCTTAAAGTAAGCTAATTAGATAATATCCACTTGAAATTAGACAATTAAATAGTTATTTTCTTATTTTACATGTAAACTGTCTTTTCCCATTGGCAAAGTGTCTCACTTACCTCCTCAAATCAAGGGAAAATGCACTTATTTTAAGAAAAAATGCATATTTTTCCAGTGTTTCGATCACTTTGACATATGGAGCTGTTCTTCCAGGTAGCTGAGCTTCCAGAACATTCAGGCCTCGGTTCTAAAACTGTGCAACCAGAACCACTGGGAGATTTACTGGGAGTCTAGGAACAGTGCTCTGCAGCCTGTGGCTCAACAACTACAGAACCAGTTCATACTGAAGGTTTTAAGTATTTTTATTTGTTTTAAATATTTGAATGAGAAGGATCCTAAAGGTAGTAGTAATATTTTTTGGGGGGGGGGGGGGGGGATGGCACCAATTTTATGGCTGATCAATGATTTATAAAAGACTGATATGTGGATTTTGATTTTGATTGATTAATCAATATCAATACCAATACAGCGGCAATTTTTAACTCTTTTTTTTCTAAATTTTGAAAAGAAAGAAAAAAAAACACATGAAACAATTATTTGTACACAAAGTAGCATTAAATTAAAAATGAATATAGTTTTGGAACATTAACAGCGGACTCTGCAGGTTTTACATCTGGGAACACATCAGATTACTAATCTCCCACAAATTAAGGAAATTTGGGACAATTTATCGATTCACCTGATCAAATGAGGAGCCCATTTTTCTTTGTGATCTATTTCTACTGATATTAGGTTGGAAAAAATAATGGCTGCACTGTTTTCCACAAATATCACCATCTTATAAAAAATATAACCATCCTGTTTTTTAAACCCAAAATAAAGATAAAACAGGTTATCTTACAGAGATGTTTATCAAAAACCATGTATTTTATCCAGAAACTCACAACATCTGTGGCTCTAAGTAGGTTTTATTAAGGTGGACTGAGGAAAGAGCAACTCTTTGAACTTTAAAGGATGCAGAACTTAGAACTAATAAAGAAAAACTTATCAGCTGAACTTTATCTAAAAGACCAGAATTACCTTTTTCTTTGCCTATGTGTAATAGTAGAACTAAACTACACAGGGCTGCTCAGTGGAGCAGTGGGTAGCACCACTGCCTTGCAGCAAGAATGTTCTGGGTTTGATTCCCGGCCAGGAGTTTGCATATTCTCCCTGAGCATGCATGGGTTCTCTCCGGGTACTCCAGCTTCCTCCCACAGTCCAAAAACATGACTATTAGGTTAATTGGCTTCTCTAAATTCTCCTTGGTGTGAGTGTGTGTGAATGGTTGTTTGTCCTGTTTGAGTTGCCCTGCGATGGACTGGAGGCCGGTCCAGGGTGAACCCCGCTGTGTAGACAGCTGGAGATAGACACCAGCACCCCTCATGACCCCAGCAGGGATAAAGATTGATGGAAATGGATGGATGAAATGGTTTCTTATAAAAGAAACCACAAACAAAGCAGTTGTAAAAGAAAATCTCTGTTGTTGGGATACAAGAAAATATTCAATGTAGTTAATTCAATTCAGTTTATTTCTATAATGCCAATTCACAACACGTCATCTCAAGGCACTTTACAGTTCAACCAGATCATACAGTCACAAGGAAAACAAGTTGATTGCATCGACTCATTGTCTCCACAGCAATCCCTCACACCTCACACCAAACTTGCTTGTAGTGACAGTGGAGAGAAAAACTTCCTTTTCACAGGAAGAAACCTCCAGCAGAAGCAGGCTCAGTCACAGCCAAGCAGAAACAGACCTGATGAAGCTACTATGACAACATTAAGCAGAGAGAGCATAAAGTTAGAGGTGGAAAAAACAAATACTGAAGAATGGGGAAATAGAGATAGAATGAAGCACAATGAGGAAAAGGGGTCCTTATGTCCTCCAGCAGTCTAAGCCTATAGCAGCATAACTGGTAGCTCAGGATACTGGATCTAACATACAAGATGAAGGCTTAGATGAAGAAAATAGTTTTGCTAACTCTGAAAGTTAAACTGGATCAAAACAAAGCAAAGCTACCTCACCTTCCGGAGATAAACAAATCATATTTATAGGGGCGCCAATGAACTTATTTTTAACAGAATGATTCTTATTTATAAAGAATGCCATAAAATTATTACTGCAGATGGGATGGAAAGTGCAACAGAGCTACGACTCTGGGTGAGTTTTGCAACGGTATTTTTGGTATATTTTGGTATATTCTGCTCTTGCTTAACGAAGGGTCATCTTATACAGCAGTAAACTATTTTTCCAGACTAAGCAGGTTCCCGTAGGCATTTAATTTTAATTAGATTATCATGATTGACTCCTTTAGAATTCTGTTCTAATTTATTTGATTTTGGTCGTAGGCAAGACACTGTCTGGATGGGGTAATGAGTGGGTAACAGTAGAGAAGCTGCAGAGAGGTTTGGTAAACTACGACTCTTCTTCATAGTATGCTCCCTGGACTGTCTGGTTGTGGAGGACCAATACATTTGGCCAGATTCCTAAAAAGAGGGGTCTTACCATCCTAAGTGGGATGGATGCAGTCTCTTCAAATCAGAGCAGGTTTTCCTCAAAAGGATTCCCGGTTATCAATGTGGATAAGACTAAAAACTACAACAAAAATGCATTTCACATGTATGAAATATTTTACGTGTATTTTTTATTGTAAAAAACATCCAAGAAGAAAACAAATCCAATCCTTCATCCAGATTAGGTTAATCATTCTAATCAGATTAGGCATCTTAATCCCGTTCAGTGTCAGTAAAACAGGTGACTATGATTTTATGCAAGTTCCTAAAGTTAAACCACTTCATCAAACACCAACCTTCACTGGGGTGAGGTCTACCAACATATGCAACGGGAAATAAAGAAAGTAGTAATTCAGCCACAGGCTGTTTCATTTCTACCACATAGAAATATGAGAGGTCTGTTTATACCATAGCTACACTTCAACTATGAGAGACAGGATGAGAAAAAAGCAGGAAATCACTATTCAAAGAGATTATTTGTAAACTATGGAGAAAAATAAAAATGTGGTCTATAACAAACAAGTGTGTGTCCCTTAGAGACCTC